AAGAGGAGGAGAGAGAAAAGAAGATGGAAGAAGAGGAGGTAGAAAAGATGGAAGAGGAGGAGGTTGAAAAGAAGATGGATGAGGAAAAGGTTGTTAAGGAGGAGGATAGGAGAAAGATAAAGGGATAATACCATGACCATCACCTTAGATTTTCAAAGAGCAGGAGTTACTCACCGTGCGATGGACTTCAGCGCCAATACGGATTTCACGGTACATCTCTTCGAAGGAGGTCTCAAGAGCCTTCTTCTCATCCGAGTTCATGCGGTTAATGGCACTGCGGTCATCTTTGTTGATCTTGTATTCACAGATCTCACCAATGGGGAGGTTGCCTGTAAATCGGTAATGGGAAGAGCCATGAGGAATCTTCTCCATGTGTGTATGTATGTATGTATATTATATGTATGTAATGTATGTATGTATGTATGTATGTGTATGTATGTATGTGTATGTATGTATGTATGTATGTATGCATGTATGCATATATGTATGCATGTATATGCATATGCATGTATGTATGCATGCATGTATGCATGCATGTATGCATGATGTATATGTATGCATGTATGCATATATGTATGCATATGTATGCATGCATGTATGCATGTATACATGCATGCATGCATGTATGCATATATACATGCATGCATGCATGTATGCATATATACATGCATGCATGCATGTATGTATTATGTATGCATATATGTATATGCATATGTATGCATGTATGTATGTATGCATATGTATGTATGTATGCATGCATGTATATATGCATGATGTATGTATGCATGCATGTATGTACATGTATGTATGCATGTATGCATGTATGTATGCATGTATGCATGCATGTATGCATGCATGTATGTATGCATGCATGTATGTATGCATGGTATGTATGCATGTATGCATGCATGTACATATGTATGTATGTATGTATGCATGTATGTATGTATGCATGTATATGTATGTATGCATGATGCATGTATTATGTATGTATGTATGTATGGTATGTATGTATGTATGATGTATGCATGCATGTATGTATGCATGTATGTATGTATGTATGTATATGTATGTATGTATGCATGTATGTGTACGTGTGTACATGTGTGTGTGAGCGTGTGAGTGTGTGTGCGTGTGTGTGTGTACGCACACGTGTGCAAGTGAATGGGTGAGTGAGTGAGTGAGTGAGTGAGTGAGTGAGTGAGTGAGTGAGTGAGTGTGAATTAATGAATTAATGAGTGGGTGAGTGAGTAAGTCTGTGAGTGAGAGTGAGTAATTCAGTAAGTGAGAGTGAGTGAGTAATTCAGTGAGTGAGAGTGAGTAAGCTAGTGAGTAAGAGTGAGTAATTCCAGTGAGTGAGTGAGTAAGTCAGTGAGTGTGAGTAAGTAGTGAGAGTGAGTGAGTAAGTGAGTGAGTGAGTAAGTGAGAGTGAGTGAGTAAGTCAGTGAGTGAGAGTGAGTGAGTAAGTCAGTGAGTGTGAGTGAGTAAGTCAGTGAGTGAGAGTAAGTCAGTGATGAGTGAGTGAGTAAGTCAGTGAATGAGAGTGAGAGTAAGTCAGTGAGTGAGAGTGTCAGTGAGTGCAGTGAGTGAGAGTGAGTAAGTCAGTGAGTGAGTAAGTCAGTGAGTGAGAGTCAGTGAGTGAGAGTGAGTAGTGTCAGTGAGAGAGCGAGTGAGTGTAAGTCAGTCAGTGAATGAGAGTGAGTAAGTCAAGTCAGTCAGTCAGTCAGTTTATATGTGAGTCTACTTATACATATACATATACAAAATAATACATATGCATATACAAAAAAATCTTAAATATAATGATATGCCCAACTTACCATCAGGATAAAGATCCACAATAGGAACAGTTGGAGGGTCAGTTTGTACTTTAGGGCCCTCTTCTTTGGCTACTGGCTCCTCTTCTTCCATCTCCACTTCTTGCCCTGGTGCCTTCTTCTTCTTCTTGTTTTTATTCTTCTTATTTTTTGCAGATGCTTCCTCCTCTTCTGAAAAGGAATGAATAAAATGTTAAAATTCTACAGCATCCAGTGTCTACATATGCTTTGTACCTGTTTATCACATGGCCTACTGGTTACACTTTCAAAGCCAACTTGCGTCCACAATACAATACACCATGACATAACATGACTCCTCTTCTAAATCAGATACTTATTGCCAAGTCCCACACAATCAATTTTCACAGCACTAGCATAATCCTTGAGCAAGAGCTTCTCTATACTTGAGTTAAAGAGATTACATTCAAAATTCTTGAAGCTACCATCTTCCATTACTGAAATTAAGACGTTGACAGTTCTATGCTTTAGTCACACAAAACACTTTATCAGTTCCATAACCCTCAACCATGACGACAGTCCTACCTTCCTCTTTGGGCTCCTCAATCTCTTCTGTTTCACCTCCTTGTCCCTGGTTCTTCTTCTTCTTCTTTTTGTTTTTCTTCTTGGCAGCAGTACTACCCTCTTCTTCACCTTTTAAAATAAACCTGACATTACTCATTTGT